TTCATTAGCAGTCTGGACTCCCCCCTGAAAAGTGGCTGAAAAGAAGCTTCGGTTGCGTTTCTACGGGAGGCTTTTCCAGAAGTGGGAAGAGCGGGCACCTGCTCTCCCACTCCCAGCCCGAGTCTCCTTTGCGGGCCGGGGGGCAGCCCCGGGCTGGAGAAGCCGCAAGAGGAATGGGCCCCGGGGGGGCTGGGGTAAAGGACTCTTTCTGGGGAGAATGCTCCGACCACGTCTCTCCTGGGGAGACCAGCACCCGTCCCCGGAAGGTTTTGCGCAAAGTGGCGTCCCAGGTGGTCACCAAGACTGGTCCGCCGGTGAGCATCATCTTCAGCACGCTCTTGTACTGCGGGGAGCTTGTGTCGGCCTGCCTGGTGACCTTCTCCTACAGTCGCTCCAGTGACCAGTTCTGGATGCTCCTGACTCTCCTCCTCCTGCTCCTCTCGTCCACCATGGTCCAACTCACCCTCATCTTCGTGAACCGGGACTTGACCAGTGACAGGCCCTTCGTGCTCTTCATGCACCTGCTGCTGCTCGGCCCTCTCATCAGGTGAGTAGTGGGAACTCTTTGCCCCCCTTCCCATTCCAGAACTTTGCTCCTCAACTTTGCTCAAGCAGCAGAGTGCCAAGCAGGGTTCAAGGAGGCCCATCTTCCCCAACCTGTGCAGGAATTACCATGCCCAGAATCCACTGCCAGCTTTCAGTTGTCTCGCAAATACACTGGGATACTTGCGCTTGCAAGAAACTAGAAAAGTTATGCTCGGTAGGTTGTGTGGGTAGGGACTTTGTGGCTGTAAAAATGCCCTGTTCTGAACTTTCTGGGTTGGACATTACAGCTGCCAGACATGATACCAAGGTGAGGCTTGTGCATTACACCAAGCCATGTTTTATTTAAGCATAGTTTGTGAGTAAACCATAAGGGGTTAGGTTCACACATTGCACCCAATAGTTAATCAGGGTTTTATCAAACCTAGTGGCTGGCTGGATGCTGAACCAAGTACAAGCCAGAATTAAGGGATCTGCACGTTCTGCTTGTGCTTCTTAAGAGAGGCAGTGGGAAGGGTCCAAAGGGTGACCCAGTTTGGAAAATGTTGATCTGAATGTGAGGACTATAGTCCTCCTCCTATCTGAGATCAGAAAGTGTCTGACTTTGCTTTCTTCAAAAAATCAGTTTGTAGCTCAGCAGTGCCCCCCCTCCCCCAACCTGCTCATTTTGCTAAGTGTGGTTCTGGATATTGGTCCTTGATCCTTGCTCTGTGAGGGCTAGAAGCCAAGAGGGAGTTCCAGTTTGGAAGCCTTCTCCGTGGAGGAATGTTGATCAGAAACGAAGGCTGAGCTTTTGCCCTTTCACCAGGAGAGAACGTGATCTTCCCAGAATGTTTAGCATGCCCAAATACCCTTGGGAGGTGCTAGAATAGAAGAGATGCCTGAAGTTAGGAAGGCGCATCGAGGGTGATGGACATGTATGGAAGAAGGCGAGCTCCTGAGAACGTTGGGCACCCTTCAGGAGGTGTGAGGTTATTAAGCTCTGCCTGTCCGCCAAATTGCTTTGGGGGTGTTTCTCTTCAATGAGCTCTTGGGGTCGGTGGGAAGTCCTCTTTTAAATGGGTGCTCCTAAGTTCCTCTCTTCTTGGTGATGTGAAGGATTCCCCATGTCAACTTCCTTTGCTTTTTTTTTTTTTTAAATGCAAGATCAAAGATTGCTTGTTGACTCCATTATGCCTCCAAGATATGTTACAGGCTAAACTTGAAATCTAGGTTGACAGAACAAAATTGCAACACTGGCCTGGTGACATCATGACACTTGTGATGTTATTTTAAGAGAATTGTGGCTTCTACCACACACAGTGAACTCTTCCCCAGTCTTCTCCTTTCTTCCTGTGCCCTGTTTCCACAGCAGGCTTACCCCTCTCAGCTCCTAACTAACCCAGTCAAATCTCCTTATTGGTAGTTCCAGCAGCTCGTAACTACTTTAACTGGATCAAACACACCCATCTGGAGAATGGAATCCCTGCCCGCTTTTCCCTGAAAGTCCCTGGTATCTTGTCACGCTTTGAACCAGGAGAGGACCAGCCAGGAGTCCTATCACTTAGCCTTTCACTTGAAATAGGACCAGGAAAGATGTTGGCCAGGCTTTTAAAATGAGGGTTTATTTATTTAGAGGACTTATGTTATCAGGCTTCTTCAGTTTGATAACATTCTCAAGGATGGTTACACATTAAGATAAAGGTAATGTAAACATTATACTAGGAGAACAGGAAAGGCCTTCTAACTCAAGTGAGATGCAGGTTGAGTTCTTCCAGTTTGTTTCAGAGCATCAGCCTTATGAGGTAGACCTGGTCAAGAGACAGATGCCATAGGGATTCCAGGAATACAGGTAGTCCTCGACTTAAGACCATTTGTTTAACAACCGAAGTTACAGTGGCACTGAAATAGCAACTTATGACTGGCCCTCACACTTATGACTGTCACAGTGTCCCTGTGGTCACGTGATCAAAATTCGGGTGCTTGGCAACTGGCATGTACTTATCATGGTTGCAGCATTCCAGGGTCACGGGATTGCCATTTGCAACCTTCCCAGGGAGCTTCTGACAAGCAGTCAATGGAGGAAGCCGGACTCGCTTAATGACTACATGATTTGCTTAACGACTGCAGCAAAAAAGGCCGTAAAATCGGGCGTGACTCATTTAATGACCACATTGCTTAGTAACAGAAGTTCCAGTCCCAATTGTGGTCTTAAGTCGATGACTACCTGTAATATTTTATTTTGGTAGGGCAGTGTTTCTCAACCTTGGCAACTTGAAGATGTGTGGACTTCAACTCCCAGAATTCCCTAGCCAGCATGCTGACTGGGGAATTCTGGGAGTTGAAATCCACACATCTTCAAGTTGCCAAGGTTGAGAAACACTGCAGTAGGGTCTCAGTAGGTGACAGCCCCCATCCAATTCTGACTGGCCTTGGCTGGGATGGGAAACCATCAGGAAATTCCAGGGGCTGCAAGCTGGACTGCTCAGTGTAAAATGAAATAAAAGCAAATCAAATCCACAGAAGGCCAAGGCAAACCGTTTCCTTATTACTGCCATGAAAAACAGCATGGATACGTCCACGAGGTCACCAGCTCCACTTGAAGAACGCTTCCTTAAATGAAGGAGCTTCCTGAACTCTTGCATGCAGCCCTCCCAGCTCCAAGCGTTGCCACTAAAGAATGGTTTTATATCTGAGAGGAGGAAAGAAGAGAGTTAGAATTAGGGGGGATGATAATAGTTGCTGGTTTTTTTTAATCTTGAACTGAGCCACTTCTTTGCTCTGGCCTTGCTTGTTTGGGGGAACGTGGCCCACGGCCCATGACTCAAAGACCGCTCCGCCTAAAAGAGGTTGGATCTCCTTGCTTTTGTATCCTGGTTTGCCGAGACCTTTGACAGACCAATGCTGGAAAGAGGGGGCTGAAGTCTGTGAATTCCCCCATGTGGTACCCTCTAGCTGGGTTGGAGTTCAGCTCCCATAATCCCTGGCCAGCACCAAGTTAAAGTTCAGGACAGATGGAGAGCACCATGGAAGGACTCTAGTTGTGTTTGCATGATACAACTAACCATCCCAGCCTTTATGACGAGCTTACAGTCCAGTGGGTCATGCCAACCCAGAAAAATGGTTTAATTGTGTAAACTAGGCTTACACTGACTATGGTTAAGCATGTGTTGGACACAGCCAGTAAGTTAAATTTTGGATAGGTGATTGTTTGTATTAATTGAGGAGCGCAGCTTTGATAGGACACCAAAATACCTTAGTCTTCTGCAGAGGGTGCCTGCTTCTATCTCTTTCTTCTGCCTGCTCCTTCAGAAAATACGACTGTGGGATCTTCCCACTCTTTTATCATTTGTTTGCTAGTAGCATCCGATGTGTCAGCCAACAAACCAGCATCCCTCTGATTGGATCAAGGAGAGGAGGTCCGGCTGTCCACCCCCTCCCTTGTTCTTTCTTTAGCCCTCTTCTGCACCCTGTTCTACCCCTCAATTTTAGCTTCCCTGCCCTCCCTCGTTGATGAAAACAGAGCAAGCTTGTCTTTGGCTCTATTTTCAGCTTCAGGAACTCAACAAAGAACCCTTCTCTGCACTGGCTGTTTGCATACGGCACCTCCCTTTCCTTCCATGCTCATGAGAAGCTTTTTATGATCGTCCTCAAGGTAGTTCGTACTAGTAACGGCTCTGGTTGGGTTAGGTTGGAGCTGAAGCAACCTAAAAAGTAATTTTGGTGCTAAAGCTCATCCTGGAAATAGGCAAAGCTGTTCCATAAAATAGGGGGCCTACTGCTAGCCCTCACACATCCAGGATGAAGTGGTTGAATTTTGGAAAGACTTGAGCCCCAGTTTTATTTTTTTAAAGAAATTTAAAATATTGCCTTTTCTGGACAGCAGATTTTGAGGGAAAAGAAGTTGGAGAGGGCAACCCCTTTCAAAGGGAAAGAAGATGCACTTGGAGGAGGAGGCGGAGGAGGCGGAGGAGGAGGAAGAGGGAGGAAACAGTGCAAGTTTAGCACAGGAGGAGGAACTAAGAGACACATCTTCATTCTCTGTACAAAAAGAGGACCAACCTACAAAACAGTTTAATGTCTTAAGCAATACATTAACCTTAGCCTAGCATAATGTTTGCGCATTATGCAAAGCCCAGCCAATTGTGACTTGGTCAACAAATTACAGTTAAGCCAGAAAGGTTTAGCACAATGTATGAACTTTGTTTTTAAGTTTGCATGACATTTATTTTTCTAGGCATATTAACAGGTATCTTTCAAGATATATTTTTTTTCTGAGCAGGTAATTGTGTTAGCCTTTTCTGTCAAAAGCAATGAAGTCTTTTGTGGCATCTCAAAGGCAGACACATTTATTACTACCTAAACATGGCCCGCTTCTTCAGATGCATTGGAATGAAATGATACGTGAGCCACAGAACCAGAAGTTCTAATACATTTGCAGATCCTTAAGGTTCCCCAAGACTTTTCCTTTTTCTGGAATGTGTCATGAACCTGGCAAACCTTTGAGTCAGTTCTCAAGAAATGACATCATGGTTCCATCAAGAAATGACATCATGGTTCCATTTGGACATTGCACAACTCTTTGCTCTGCCTTTTTAACCAACTTAGCTGTCCTACAGTTCACGGGAGACTATTTAAGAGTTTTGCAAAATCTGCCCAAGGAATTTCAAGGTCTGAGTCAATCTGAGGAAAGCATGATCTCGTCTCTCATGTTGCGCTGCTCTTGAAAGGCGTGTGCTCTGTAGTCTCGCTCTTAGCTTGGGGAGCTGAATGCAGGTGGGTCTCTTTGTTTATGACTGTGGGAAAATCTTGAGTGCAGTTGCTTTAGGAAGTAGGATGTCGAGGCCCAGCGAGTCTGTTTCAATCTGCTTCTGCAGCAGGAGATAAAAAGCGAGGGAGGTTTCTAGAATAAGCCTAGACTTCCGGTGCTCCATTACAGTTAACCACAAATAGGGCTTGTCTTGAACAGATGCTTTCTGGTTCTTTCCCCTCATCAGTATGGCAGGAGAACAGCTCCCTGTGGTTTGTTTTCATTTTTGGAATGATCTGTGGAGTGGTGTTGGTTGTCGCTTTTCAGTGAATGTCTCAGGGTTGCTTGAGTTTGTTCACGGTAGGGTGGACAATCCTTTTTTGGCTGAGAACCAACAAATTTGCAAGGGAACAGGTTGGAGAAGGTGGTCTTTAGTCAAGCTTCGTGGAACTGTAGTTCCAAACTGTTGAGGGCCTCAGGCTGTCTATTGCAGGCCTTTTCAAACTCTGTTCTGTTCAACCCTAGGCCCTGATGGGGTCCCATCAATGACAACAAGAAAAAAAGTTTACTTGAATGCAGCCAATTTTCTATCCTTAGAGCTCAGGATCAGGGCTTCTGGATATTTTATTAAAAGAGGTTCCGTGGCCTGAAAAAATGTGAAACCCTCTGGTTTTGTGCATGACTCAATACTGATTTTTATACAGGAAGTGGTTGAGCTGAATGCCAATTGATCGCTCTAGCTTAAGGTCCCCAGAAGGTTGAATGCTTTTACCAATAGGGATGGTCATCTGCAAACATACCTGCTTCCCCCCCAAACAATGATTGAACTTGGAATAGATTTTTCTCTCTCTTTCTCTCTCTTTTGTATAGATGCCTGGAGGCCATAGTGATGTTCTACCGCCTGGGTCGGGAGGAAGAGCCCTACGTCACCATCACCCGCAAGAAGCATCTTCACAGAGACTATGAGATTGAGGTCGAGCAGGAAGTGGGGCACTTGGTGCGCCGGCTGGTCACTCACCGCAATGCTTTCAAGCGGATGGCGGTCATTCAGGCCTTCCTGGGCTCCACCCCACAGCTCACACTGCAGCTTTACGTCAGTATAATGGAGCATTATGTGCCCACCAGCAGAGGTAAAGACAGGGCAGGGCCACAAGACGCGATGGGAGGGAACTAAAGGGGTCACGTGTGGGAGATTCGTTTCCACCAGAAAACTAATTTGCTTTCCTGATGAGAAGTGAAATGGGTTGGAGGCTCAGAGAGAGAGTTCTTTGTTTCTCTCTCTCTCTCCCTCTGGCTGCTTTGGCATATAATGTTAGACCCGGATTTGTTTTAATCATGATTTGAGGAACATGTCATGCTTAGTCCTGCAGATACGCAAAGGAATTGTGGCTTGTTTGCCGAGTTCTGGTTTATCTGCTAGGATAAGAAGTGGAGTACAAAAATAAGCCAAGTCTGAATGTTGATTTTTAGTTCAGACCAAAGACAGGCTTTGGGCTTCAGAAACCAACAATCAAACATAAAATTGTGGTTTGACAACAAAGAGTGGCTCCTTTCTCAGGACACGTTTTGCACATCATATGAAAGATGGATTCACGCACCCCAAGTCCCAGCCAAGCAATCTGTGGCCGTGGCCTTTGGCTCCTCCAGGGTCCCCTCTGGTGTGTTGAAAATTCCCAGCATAATGTCTTACCGTTTTGAGCTGGGAACAGATGAAAACTATACTGGAGGCTCCAAATAGTGAAATCACACAGATACCCATACCCATCCATGCCCATTGTGCTATTCTCTTGTGATGTTGACGGTGATACGCAAAGTGCAGAAAAAAGACTCTGAAATAGGAAGCTGAAGGACTTAAAGGCAGGAGATAAAGGCGAGGGGGATCTAACTTTGGGACCATCTACACCTGGTGGCTTCGGGCTCTCAGATAATCAGGCAGGGAAGTCTTCGGTTCTCCTCTGCAGGGCCCGAGACTCTTTTCTGTTGCAACTCCACGTCTTTGGGACAGTTTTGCCAGTCAAGATTAAACTAGCTGCCCTCCCACCCCACCCCCCAGTTATGTTTCTGGAGAGATGTTAAAACTTGGCTTTTTAACAAAGCCCCAAGAGAAGATCTGGGGTATGCTTAGATGTTTATTGTTCCTGTGTTTGTTTTCTAGTAATTCTTTGTTACTCTTTCTTACTGCGGTTCTATTACTGTATTCCTTTAAAAAAAATAATAAAATTCAGCCTTATTCCTGTAAGAAGGGAATTTTAAGCTACTCAGTTTTTTAAAGCTCCTTGGGAATTTTAAGCTACTTGGTCCTGCTGGATTGGGGTGGCATATAAAGCCAGTTCAGAAATAAATAAAAATAAATAACTAGGTCTGGTTTATACCAGTTCCATTTACTATACTTCTCCATATCTTCCTATCCGTGCAAGCCATCCTTGCAGATAATATAGAGCTTTTCTTTGTTTTTAAAATGCAGACTTCAAAGCTGAAACATTGCTGAACTAAATAAAATAAAAGCGACCAAACAAAAATTTCTTCTAAGCTCTACAGCAGGGAATGGGTATCAAACAATGGGTTTTGGCTTAGTGGAATGTGTAAATCCAGCCCAATGTGGTTTGTTCAACAAACCACGCTTCAATAAACCTTGCTTTGGCATGACATGGAAATCCAGCTCAAATTAGTACCTTGAATACTGTCCTGAATCTAGCATCTAATGCGTTTGAGGAGAAGAAACCTGGGGGCTTCCCCTGAAATATTGACAAAATTAAACTTAGTTTGTTTGGAATCAGAATCTGTCTTTAGGTCCAAAGGATCCTTGTTTCTCTCCAGCTATGTGAGATGTAGGCCGTTATAGTTCATAGACTGGAATGCATCTGGTTTGAAGTTATTTCCTGGTGAAACACTGAAAAAAATGGTTTTGTGTTGGGGAAGATTATTAAGTAGCAAGCAAGCAATCCATTGGTCTTCAGGAACTGGATCTTAAAATGTTCTTAGTTGGAACTGGCTGGGTTCACTCCAGTAATGAGTTAAGCAGAACCCATAATTTGACTTGTACCTCTTTGATCTGCACTTGAGATGTTGAAGGACTAAATGTTTGGCTCTCCAAAGATAACCTGCATGGAGAAAGCTAGCATGTTAAGAAGGTTAGGAGTCCTGCTCTAGTAATACACCTAGTATTATACATGCAGAGAGATTACGGCATGTAGGAAGAGATGACTTCACTCTTTGGATTTATGGTGGGACCATCTGGGGACAGCTGCTCCTTGGGAGAAGTACATGATGGATGCCAAGTGCGATATTGGAGATTTTGCTGCCTGTTGCTACCATAGAAAATTGGAAGAATTTCATATAGTGATACATCTGGTAAACTGCTTGGCCTGATAAAGCTCCTATTTGCCAGGGCATCAGAGAGAAACTCTGGTGAAAAATTCAGTTGGCTAAAATCTCATGAGATGGTGGTATTCTTAAAATATTTCCAGCGAGAATGTCTAATATTTGAAGATTCACGTGCAAGATGTTATGACTGGGAGGGCCAAAACTGGATGATCTTATGAGATTTCAGGCATTGCATTTATTTTAGTGGTTATTTTTGACCATTTAGCCCCTGAAGAATTTGCCAGGGTTTGTACCTCCTCTCCTTTGTGGGACTGAGAGATATTCAGATCATCTCAAGAAGGACAGCCTGTCAGATCTGAGAAGACTCCAACTTCTCTGCATCTCTGCCGGGCTGTCTGAGCTCAGAGATGATGGGAATTGTTGTCCAGTGTATGCAAACTGTTTGGCCTAATGCAGAGAGGGGAAACTCTCAACTTCTTGGACACACGCAGCCCTCTGAGGGTCTCCCAGGTGCCAATCCAACTCCTTCACTATTGTACCACCCTAGCTGTTATCATATTCACTAAAAATTTACTCTTAATACCATAAGGATCCCCGACCCTCTGCTGTAACCCACCCCATTGAAATGGTCCTGCCCTTTGCACCTTCCAGCTTCCAAAAACACTCTGTGCTCCTCAGCCCGCCAGAGATTGCCATCCTGGTTGTAATGGTTTACCGGTGAAACTGAGTGGATTTATTCCGTATCGATCCTTTTGCGAAGGGTTCTTTATAGTTGAAATACGTTGCAAAGGAGCTTTTAAAGGCTCGCCCAGGGGAATTTCAGCCAGAGCCTCGGCTCAGCTTGCCAAGCCAGGGGATCAACCTGGACTCTCCCAAATGATTCTACAATCCTTTTTAAGGCCTAGACAGCAGAGCCAGTGATTAAGGGTTAGGAAGGCTGTAGCACCAAATGGCTGGAGAATAAAAGACTCTCAAAAATGCCCAGAAAAAGCAAACTAGGTCATCCACAGCAGCCTGGGTGGTGAATTCTTGTGAATCAAGTCTCTGGAGCATGGGCCTTTGCTAGGTGTGTAAGTTCAGCGGGTGTGGCTTTCTTATGATCCCTGCTTAACAGAGGCTCCTGTGCAATTCCCAGAGGTGTGGTTCCAATAATTAGTATTCATAAAACTGACTGCAGGCATTTTCATTGCCAGATTCTTAAGGCATTTTGCCATCTGCCTTCAGTGAGGGATGTCAGCTTGGAAACATGCAGACAAGTAACACACCCAGAGCACTGATCCAGTTTGAACAACCTGCTCCATTTTAATGTTTTCCAGATGTGTTGGATGGCAAGTTAATCCTCTTCCAGGAGTTTCCCTTCCTTTCCTCCTGAATGAATGAATGAATGGATGTTTTATTGAAGTCTTAGACCAGCATTTCTCATGCTGGCTCAGGAATTCTGGGAGTTGAAGTCCACACATTTTAAAATGGCCAAGGTTGAGAAACACTGTCTTAGACAGACCAAAATACAAACTAAAATAATCAATATGAAACTCAGATTCATGGGTCAAAGGGTAGGAAGAAAATGAGTACATAAAAATCATTAAAAAAAAACAACTGAACTCAAAATACACATGACTAATTCAGCTCAGTCTTGCAGGGGTTCCAAGAACGTGATGAAAATCAGGAATCTGGTAATGTAAGCTCATGAAAGCGTGTGACTGTTAATAAAATGCGTTAGTCAGAATAGGCAGTACTAGTCTCCCTGTCTAAAGCGCTCAGACGGGAGGGATGTAGATGTTACATATATAATTTCCTCACATATGAGGTTTATATGGCTTTCATACCCCCTACCCAGGAGTTGGGGATCTTTGTTTTTACACAGTGTGTATATCCTGTGTTGCTATGAGAGTTTCACAAGTCCCAGTAAATGTAAAACAAGGTTTCACAACTAACTTTTAAGACTCTGCTAATTGAATGCACATTTGTGGGGGCGACTTGGGAGGTTTTGAAAGTAAATTCTGCATTAGCCTTTGCCGAGAGTCAGAGTCACATTGACAGCATGAAATCAAATGTGCTGTTTCCTCATCCTGTATATCCCCCGTATTTACCTAGAAAGGTTCTCTGGCCCTCCTGAGCAGATTTAGCCCAAAGGAGGATTATTATATTGGGTGAAGGACGCAGAAGTTGAGATCTCTCTGGCTTTCACATCCAAATTGTCCAGGCTGGGCTTTGCTAAGATCCGATCAAAGAAATGGACTAGCAAGAAATCCACAAAGTCCCGTACAGAAAATAATGTATGGAATACACTCCTACAAGACTTGGTGTGGATTGAGGTGAAAGGATACTGTTGATTTTACTGGAACACTCCACTCTTGGGCAACCAGTCTCACTGGTTTCGTTCATGCTTAGCTCAGCAGATGATTTATCCTCTTAACTGCTTGTGTACTTTCAATTTAGGTTCTGGAAAAGAGAGGATACACCCCTTGGGGGAGCAAATCCCATTCTTCACCCCACCCCCCCACCCGCATTGCAGACAACTTTCTTGCAAGGGACTGATTTCCACAGCTCCAGAATTTGTTTGGGCCCGGAATTTCTACCCTATAATTATATGCAAAATGCATATAATATGCATTTGGTATTTGCATTCTTTGCTTTGCGTAATCCATTTTGAAAACAGAATGCAATTTCCTTACAGCAGTATTTGGAGCTGGAAGCGGCTAATAGATGCCCTAGCTTAAAGCTCATACTATTCGGGGTGGAAATGGCCCATTTTGATATTTTTCCTAAACAAGATTTACCTCTACCAGTACCCAAATGATTCTCTGTTGATGCTGGTTGACAAGGAAATGTTGGGTTCTTCATGTTTTCATCTCTGTGCGAGAGAAAGCTTTCTGTGTCTCTAGCCAGAATTCCTTGTTTGCTTTTCAAAGCAGGGTGAGCTAGTTGAAAGATCTAGATCAGTGTTTCTCAACCTTGGCAACTTGAAGACGTGTGGATGTCAACTCCCAGAATTCCCCAG